AAGGTGTCATTGGGGTGACGATCCGAGTGATTAGTGGTAGCATGGAAGGAAACACTTCTAGAAAAGCAAATGATCGGTCAACTTCTCTTTGGATGAAAATTTCCAAAGACATGAAATTTTGCAAACTTTATTCCACCAAAGTAGTGTGTTAATGTAGGTGCTCAAGATCCAACCATGTTTAGATTAGTTTGAGTTATTATATCATTACATAATTTATATTATTAATAAAAAATTCTTTCTATTAATTCTTATCATTTATATTTATTTATTGAATAGAATTAGATAGAAGTCCATATGATATCATTTGTATTAGTGATTGATCGAAAGATATGAGACTAATATTAATGCATATAAATGATATCATTAAAATGTCTTAAGTCATAGCATTATCAAGAATGAACATTGACTATACCTGGTTAGACTTGTGAGTGCTATGCTCATGCTATATGATAGCGAGTAGGAGATCTCACACATATTGGCATGATGATGCCAAAGCAAGTACTTAGGTGATTTATGTTAAAGAACATATCACCCAACTGGACTCACCATGAGAAACCATTTGGTTTAGTCTATGGGAATCTCATGCGAGATTGATACAACTAGTCCTTAGATTTAAAGTCATTATGATTATCCCATTAGAGGATTTATGTACTTTGACACTCATTTTGATGGACCTAGTAAAAGGTTGCACATGGACGATTCATTGGGTGCACTAGGAATCTAATAAAGGTAGGAATTTAAATGACCAAGTTTGAGATCATACTGTGATAAATTGACATGAAGATTGAATTATATGGTAACTATGCTCGTGAAAAGTAACTACAGATTAATTAATCCTCCTAAAAAGATTGGTAGTCATAATGCCTTGCTAGAAGTCAATCTTGATTTATGTATCAAGAGATAAAAGAGGTGTTTTTTTATTCTTGATACTTTTATCTCTTGATACATTACCAAGATATCTAAGAAAGCTTATTATTCACATACATAAGTTTAAGCATTCACATAATAAAAGAAAAGAAATGATTTTGGAAAGGTTTCTAATTTTGAAAGTTTCTTCTATTGGAAAAGGTTTTCGAAAATGGAATTTTTCCTAAAATAGAAAGTTTTAATTTTAAAAATCAATTTCCTAATTTGGGAGTCGGTTCCAAATTTGAAAATACATAACCTAAAAAGGAAATTAGCTTTCTAATTAAGGTTTAAGGGTAATTTGGAAAATTGCTTCTTAATGTGGGCCTTTTAAAAATATCTAACCTAACTTATTTGGATAGTCTAGATCAATTAGTAATTAATTAAGCCAAAGGAATTTGAGCCAACATGTTTAATTTAAAAACCTACATGATATTTTGGTGAGAGAATAAATATGAATCTTATTGGATAAGGATTAAATTTATTGCGATTAGGAAACAACAACCAAGAGTCCTTTTTAGGACTAGTTGCCCCCTTTTTGTCCTTGGAGCACAATAAAAACTATCCCTCTATAAATAGAAAGAGAGGTGTGGCAAGAAAGAGAATGAAAAGAGAGAGACACACGAAAAAAGGAAAGACATACGGCAAAGAGAGAAAAGAAATTAGGGCTATATGACATAAAGAAAAATAAGGAGAAAATAGTTTTCTTCCTTCCCTAAAAATTCCGCCATCATTTTCTCTTCTCTTAGGGTTATCACAAATTTACCCTAATTAGATTTCAAAAGGAAAAATACTAAATAAGTATGAAAAAGTAGAGCTAGCACTTTACTAATTTTGAGTGCTTCTTGTATGAGTGCTTAGACTACATGAATTATCAATAGAGATCGGATGCTTGGATGACTCTTTTTCTACAAAGGTTTAATTTTGCACTATAAGAGGTGATCCTTTATTTATGCTTTAATTTATACATGTATGGTTAGTTGATTTAACGGTATGATCTTGGGAACTTTATGTAGAAAATTTTTTTGTTTTATTCCGCACCTCCATACGATGCATGATCCTTCACAATAAGCCCGGAAACCTCTCTCTTTAGTGCATATATCTCCTTCGGTGATTTTGTACAAACTAAGCTCTTTTTTCATTCTCCATCTTTTCTCTTCCTCCGGTGTGATAAATGCACGAGGAAAGTTTAGTTTTGGCGAACGACCTACATTTTTGTTCAAATAAAAGACAACAAAACACAAGGTATAAATAATATATTAAAAATAAAATGACACTTGGGACTAAATATGGAATAGCCTTCATGTGGGGAAGATAAGAGGATCCAATTGTTGATTCTTTGATAATTTAAAATTATCCTAAATTAATTTAAAGATGAAATTAGATTTCATTAGTAAACCTTGAAATATTCGATTGAGCTTCAAAATCTCTTTAATATTTAGACATTGCAGAAATTGGATAAAAATCCTCTTATCACCCACCCTAAAATATCGTGACCCAATTACTTGATCGAGGTTTCAATACATCCGACTTGCCAAGTGAATTTATTTGAAAATGATGATCCTAAGATTTGGTTCTAAGTCATTACGAGAACGGGATAAGATCTATCTAATTCTCAAATAGGGTCTATTCAAGCTTAGCAAATCATGTAGAATCATTGGGGCTGCTAAAAGTGATGGTTGGTAAGCATGAAAAATCATTGGTTATCCATCGCTTGATAGCAACTAGTGAGAAGAGTTGAGATTTCATGAGTGTTTACCCAAGGAGAAACCCATCGAGGCACCACTACTACATTCCTAAGTTCCAAGGCAAGTGTGTGACATACATAAAAAGTAACGGTGAGTATAGTGTGTGCATAGGCATTATTCCATATTTAGTCCCAAACATAAAAACAAAGACACAAATAATACAGCAAGAATAAAATAAAAAGCAAAAAATAAAAATACAAGACAAACAATAACAAAAGGCATGAATTTAAATAAGGCATGTAAAATACATAAATCGACATAAAAGCAAAAAAAAAAAATCATCATATCATTAAAAATTAAATTTCAAAATTACATGCAAAGCCTAACCCTAAGTTCGATCCCTAATGGAGTCATCGGTCTATCGCGAGGCGACATCGAGGTGAGGGCAACGAGTTTTTGGAAATAGGGAAATGGAAAAAATAATTAAAGTTGTTACCTAGTAATATGGTTGCCGAGAAACCATATGATTGATTTGTTCGAGTTTTGGATAAGGGGTTTCTTATGTGTGTAGGAAAGATTAAAAAATTACTATATCCCATCCTACCTAAAACAAGCTACATTGCATACAAAACGATTTTGATTTTTTATTTTTTAAAGATAAAGTTTTTACCTATTTTTCAAACATTTTCCCTTTAGTCGAGTGATTTGAGACTTGACCGATCAAAGACCTTGTCCTCATTCTATAATGAATAGCTAACAAAATGAAAAGGCATGACAAATACAAGGATATATGGCTAATGCAACCTAGATGGCATGCGTGAAAATAAAGCTTAAAAATTGGCAAATAAGCACAATAAGCAAAATAGACATAATTGGCAAAATAGGCAAGCAGGCAAAATAGGAAAACAATAGAAAAAATAGGCAAATAGACAAAAGGATTAAAAAGATAAAATGACATAAATGGCAAAATAGGCAAAAAGTGAATGAAACGACAACAAGTAATAAGAACAACAAAAAAGGGAAAATGGAAAAAATAGATAACACAATAAAAATGGTAAAAACAGAAAAATGGGAAAAAGGTGGCAAAAACGATAAAAGCAATTAAAATGGAAAAATTGACAAAAATTGGAAAAAACGATCTAACAACGAGATTTGGATTGACAAAAATTCAAATGTCATGATTTTTTAAACGCATGGCAAATAAGTTTGACTAGTAAAATTGGCATGATAAACAATGTTGGCATGAACAATTTGAAACAAAATGTGACACGAAAGTTGATTTTTCAAAATGTCATTTAACACAAAATTGACAAAATGGTCCAAAAGAGGTTCGGATCGACATAACTCAAGCATCACATTTTTTAGGACAAAATTGGTGCAATATTAATTATTCATCGCAATTGCCATAAAAGGTCAAAAAAAAAACATATTCGGATCAACGCAACTCAAAGATCACATTTTTTAGGAAAAAATCGACACAATATCAATTAATTGTTGCAATAAGCAACAAAAGTCCAAAATAAGGTTTAAAGCCGACATGATTCAAGAATCATATTTTTTACAATAAAATCTACACAATTCAAATTGATCATCACAATTGACAAAAACAATTTAAAACAAGATTCGAACCAACATAACTCAAAATTATATAGTTTTAGATGAAATCGACATTTGAGCGATTTAATGTTATTAACAAAATAGTACAAAAAAAGGTTTGAACCGACGTAATGTAATTACACAAACAATAAAAAATATTTATAGAATAAATTAATACCATATTCTCGCCTCGATATTTTCTATGTCTCAACCCTTTTGTAGGTTTGATATATTAAGTGTATCTTAAACACACTAACTAATAATCACATAACCATAACGGTAATTTAAAGTCATACAACCACGAAATAATTTAATTAATTTACAAATATATCACATGAATTAAATTTAATATAGATTAAATTAAAAGAGTTAAAAAAATAAATTACTATAAAATTTTTGAATGAATTTGATCGTCAAATTAGGGTTAGTTTAGATCTTTTCAACCACGATGTAGGCCGAATATTCGATCAATCGAGGAGGATGGATGACTGCCATTACGGATCTAGACTCGACATAAGGTGAGGCGACTATTGGTGATCGGATCCGGATCGATACTAGCATTGAAAGAAGGCTAATGGTAACAAAAAGCTATTGTTGGCATGAATCAAAAGTTGTTATGGCACGGTGGTAGCTACTTAGAGGCTAGATGGACGACTATAAGAATTACTAGATATGGATCATGCTTAGATGACGTGAGGGTTACTAGACATATAGAGCGTAGATCGGACGATGGGTGTGGTGTCATCGATGGGCTGCCGGTGGCGTGGGGCTATTGACGATGCGGGCAAAAAGCCGATAGATGGGGTGTGACTATCGACGATCGATACTGGACGACATAATTGTTGGACTAGAGGCGTTAGATCTAGAACATGATTGTTGGTCCGTCAAACGACTACTATAATCAACGATAAGAGTCGTTGAAGGGCTATTACGATTCTTTGGATTGGCATGAAGAGCTACGATTAGAGGGATGAAAGGCATTGTGGCAGTGCTTGGAGGGTTATCGGCATGGCGATAGGAATGATGGATGGAACGATGGCTGGAGCAAGATTGGATCAGCATCGGGTAGAGGAGGATGGCTAATCAAAACTTCGGGAGAGAGGGAGTTTGGCTAGAATTTTCTTAGGGAGAGAAAGTAGTGTGTGTGGCCGCCCTCCTAAAGAGAAAATGGCTGCTATTTTTGAAGAAAATGAGGGTATTTATACTTGAGTTTTTTGGATTTATTAGATGAAGTTTAGTTTGGTCCCTCATCTCACGAGACTTGTTTTATTTTGGTCGTTTTCTCTTCTTTTTTCAATTTCATCCCTCAATTGTTTTTTTCTCCTTTTTTTTCTTTTTTTCTTTTTTTATTTTTTAGGAAAAAATTAGGTGCTAACAAGCCACATGAGCGTAGGCGAGAGAGACGGGATGAAAGGAAAAGTGACATGACCATGTGGCACCAAAAAGTCATTCAAAGAAGAAACAAAACCCACACGAGATAGTAGCTTAAAGACATAAAATGAAGAGAAAAATTGAGAGGACCATATGTGTCAATCAAGCAAATCATATGAGGGATCGTACATGATAAAACTCTACTTCTCTTACGGAATTTAAGACTATAAATATAGAAGCTAGGGTATACACTAGTTGATTGATCCATGTGATTCAAGGTAAGAACATGGATTAAAATACAACTTATGCTCTATAGTTACCCTAGACTCTAAAGTCTATGCTCCGATACCAGCATTGTCATGACCACTAAAGAAAGCCATGATCGATGTGAGAATAAAGAGAACCATGAGGCCCACCTTGACTTAAGTAAGTCTTGAATACTTATACTACGAGTCCTCAAACCAAGATCACCTCAAATATCATTTCTAGATTTACAATATCCAAACTTAATGGTCATAACTTTATAAATTCAACACAATGATAATTCAATGCTATTATTCCATTCCTCAACTCAATATCTATAATTGATTTCTAATAGAACACACTGTAAGTTATAACTACGAGCTTCTAAGAATACAACAAAATCAAACATAAGTTTTAAGTGACTACAATTAAATATGTCGCACGATCAATATGTCGACTTCAATATAAGCAACTAAATGAAATCTAAAAGGGGACCCTCATAAATCTTGCAATACTAAAATAATGGAGGGTGAGAAAATCAACGACTCGGTGAGTACATACTATATAACACATCTAAAGAAGGAAAACGAACTAAGGACGATAACCTAAAATTCAACTCAATATGCAATGCTAGTTTCTCTAAAACAAATGCATATCATAAAACCAAATTGTATATCATAAATTAAATGGTTCAAAACCAATTCATATTCAATCATCAAAATGTATACAAATATGTATCATAATCAAATCAAACCATATATCTAGGTTGTATTTATCCTTGAGGTAAATATAACGTATCATTGGATGTGAACACTCAAAAGTCACATCTCTCATGGCTAGATTTTCATATATTGGCTAACACACGAGCTAGCAGTCTACCTCTCCTGCTAGCTAGAGCCTCGTATCTTGAGGTCAAAGGCTACGTCCCCCATAGCTAGGTTTCCTAGGGCTCAAAAACAATTCAAAAATAGTATAAACTTATACATATTCAAATCCAATATATCAAAAATAATGCATGCTCAAAACATATTTAATAGTACAATTCCATATCAAATAAACATTTATAAAAATTATAGGACAATCAAATAACAATTGAAAGTAAATTATTTAAATTTGTAATTCCATATCAAATCATAAATAAAACACTTTTTCAAATCCTTTTTTAAATCATATTAAATCACTTTCAATATGCAATCATTTCAAACACACAAGAGTCCATTCTCATCTAAGTTTTAAGGAATGTGATTAAATTGTACTTAAACCAATGATGCATGACATGCATAATCAAAGAAATTCAAAAAGCATGATATGCTATATAATATCCACTCACAATATAAATAAATGATCAAATGGAGTCAAGGTTGTTGCAATGGAGTCACTCGCTCCGAAGAATCTAATAACACATGATGTTGGAACAACTATCAATATCACATATCAAGAAATAATTCAAAACATTTGAATTATTCTAGAAATAGGAATACAAGATTACCTATACAAATGGAATTGATCAGAAGACCCAAACCGAAAACTTTAACTAAATTTGATAATCTCTCCAATAATTCTAAACAATTGCTTAGCAATATGCCATCATCAATTTTCAATTCAATTCAAACTTCATACATACCATATTTTCTCAATTTCAATTCAAACCTTTAAGCAATTAATTTTCAATTAAATTATCAATTCAATCAATACTCATTTCATACATCTTTAATTACATTTATATAACTTAATTCTTCATTTTTTTTAAATTCTTTTCAATTCAAAGCCTAATTTTTAGATTTTTCACTATTCATCATCTTTAACCTCTCAATTAATCAAATTTACTCCATTGCACTTCAAAATAACTTTATAACCCACTTATATAAGATAATTAAACACCATTTAATCAATTAGAATCATTTAATCAATTTTTTTCCCAAATGGGTCCAAAAACTCTAACTTTAATGTAATCAATTCTTCATTCAATCCATAAACACAATGTAATCTAATTTTAAATCATCAATAACTATATGTAAGCACTCCAATTTAAAGATCAAATGATTAAAAATCTTACCTTTGACATTTTGCTCTTTACTTTCCAATTCAATCCTAGCTCTCAAAGCTTTTCAAGCTTCAATCTAGTTAAGATTTACTTAATCAACTAGTTTATTATTTTTCTAAACTAATTTAACAAATTCTTAGCTTATGAATTGAAAAAGAGAATTAGGAGAAATTCTAGAGAGAGATGCATGAGAGAGATGAGAAAAAAGAAAGAAAAATTAAGGAGGCGACCAAGCTATCCCCTTTTTATATCGAGCTTGTAATTTTTTTAAAATAAAATATTATTCTTAGGACGGGTTATTATAGGATGACTTCCGGAAAAGTTTTTTCGTTGAAGTAGGATTCATAGAAAAGATATTTTGAAAATACACTATCACAATTTTACCAGTAGTTTCCTCATCGGAGTAAGGAGAGCCATTATCCATAGGATCTCAAGTTTAGAGTTGATAGCACGGTTATAAACACTAGCATGAAAGAAGGAATTATTTTGATCCCTCTTTTCAAGTCATTTAACATAAGATTTTTCCTGTAGGAATAGTTCTTTACGAGCCACCAGATTGTCAAAGTGATTTTTAGCCTTCATATTCTTAGCATCATTCTCTTCATACCAACGACTTTGTAAGGCGACCTCCATATGAATAACCTCATCATTAGCCTTGTTAATAGCTTGGTAGATATCCCCAAAGACCTTCCAGGTCCAATCTTTAAGAACACCCGGAGGGATTTGAGTTTTAGTTATAAGTTCAAGAAAAGAATTTGGCTCTTATTGATGCTCCATTATTGCTCGCACAAATGGTAGAAAATCAATATGAGATAGACACATTTCATAAAAGAAAATCTAGTTAGCTTAGTAAGCCCAAACATGAAAGACGAAGTAAAGGGCAATGGTTAGAAAAGATCTAGGCTAGATAAGTGCGGACAACCCTAGAAAAGTTGGCTAGAAGGAAAGAATTAACCGTAATCCTATCAAGCCTCTTCCATATTCTAGCATGCTCTTCCCGATTATTACACCATGTGAACTTGCTACCCTTAAAATAATGTCTTGAATCCCTGAAGCTCGAATGCCATAATTAAAGTTAAACATAGACCACGTTTCTAGAGAAGAACCACTAGCCTTTTCCAAAGGCATAGAAACCGTGTTGAAATCACCACCGATAACCTAAGGTAAGGAAACATTGAGAGAGTTCAAGTTATTCTAAAAATTGCATCTAACCACTCGATCATAACTCGCATGGATAGAGGAAAAGAGAAGTTGTTTGTTAAAAACTATGTCTCGATACCGATAATGATAGATTATAGGCGGATATATTACAAATCCATCGGCAGAGAGTTCTTCCACATGATCCAAATATGCTTGTTAATGGGAGTACCATGCGGATAGCATGTAAGTTCAAAGTCTTAGCAAAGTTAGCAAGCTTGTCACCCATTTGCTTAGGTTCAAGTAATATCAAAAAGTAGGATTGTGATGGCGAATCGGTCTTCAAAGATATCTCCTCTTATTCATAGCACAAACAACCTTAAGGTTTCAAATGATACCATACATCGATGGCATGGAAAGGTTCACCATTATGATGTTCTTCGGATCTAGTTATGTGTTTCAAGTTACTTCTGGACCAAACTCTTCTTCATTTTATTTTTTTATTTATTTTTTTATTAGACAAAGTTTTCCCCTGTTTGTCTAATTTTGCCACACGCTTCTTAGAAAGTAGCATCTAGCCATGCATTATGAACTAAAATGCTATCCGAAGCTACATAAAGGGATAGTTCTACCTCAATATGATCCACCATGAAATTGTCATCCTTATTATACTCTATATAGAACTCACTTCATTGGTTATCCTTGCCGAGTTAACGATTACAAACATGTTGACGGATGGCCGAGTGGCATTTTCCTTTATATCAAGCAATGGCCTTAGGGTGCGGCAAATTAGAATCATCCCGATCAATATTTCACAAATTAATTTTTGCACCAACTAGTGAGGCATCAATACCAACGAAGTTAACGATCTCCTTTTATAGGACGCATCATTACTATTATCCGGTTGGGAAAAGTACATCCACGAAGCTCTTCATTGTTAGCAAGACGGGGATGGTCACTAGTAAGTGGATTTAGTTGAACCTCTTTCCCTATTGTATGGTTGGAAGAGCTTGCACCACCGAGTTAAAAAGGAGGGGGGCCCTCATTGTAGGATTTTTTGGGCATGCAATTGAGTTGCTATTGCCCACAAAACCTTTTCTTAGCTTGGTTTGCCATCATCTATCTTAGCTAAGTTCGTTGTTGTTGCCTCTTTAGCATGTTAAACCCGTGCCATAGCCACAATAACCATTTTCTCAATTGTTGACACTAAGGCTTTTTGGAGTTTTAGAGTTTTTGAGAATTGCCTCTAGAGTGCCCTTCTAGGTAGCAATGGGTACAAAAGGCAATATTGGATTCTACTATTATGTTCCGCCAAAATCCTTTAGCTCTGTCTAGGCTAACCGAAATCCAAACCTTTGGAGGTATATGGACATTTAGATTCACTTCAACACAAACTCGAGCATACACAAGGTGAGAGCCATTCAAAGTGCGTTCATTTGGACGAAGAAATGTACCAAATGGGCACACAATTTCCTATAAAAAAAAACTATGCGGAAAAAAGAGAGAGGGAGACCTAGAAGTTTAATCCAAATGGCAGCCATAAAGGATTCATATTTTGGGTTAAAAGACTCATCCCATTTGAACAATCCGAACAAAAAGTTAGAAACCATATGATATGAAATCCTCCTTAGAAAGCATTCTAATGAGGACATGGCGCGAGTCTAACGATCCCACTACTGGACTATCCTTGAAACCCCAATGGGTTTGGATGTGAGCTCTTATTGTGTTGATTGGAGGGTGACCCTTGTGAATTTGGCTATTAAGGAGAATTCAAAAAATTTTGAGGACTGTTGCAGATCCATGAAGGAGAATTCGATGGCTGAAGCTCCCTCGTATGTTGAAAGTGGTTTGGGGTTGATGGCGATGGCTAGGAATGATGAGAGCAAACCTGCTTGTTTGTTCACAATGGTTGCTGCATATGAGAAGTTAGGGTTTTTGGGTTTGGGTATGTGCTGTGCAAGGGGTAAGATGGATTCAGATAAAGGAAAATAGGCAAATGTGAAGAAAGGGATGGGTTTAAGGAAGGGAAATCATTGATGTTTGTTGGGGATTGTTGGGAAGATGGGGTCTCTGAGGAGTGTGAGGAACCTGACAACTACCTAAAAAAAAAAAAAAAAAGAGAACGCTTTAGAGAGAGAAAGCTGTAGAGAGAGAGCGTTTCTATTCCGAGGCAGGTAAAATCTCCTTCTCGTGTCCATTGCACCTTGAACGAGTTTAAGACAAGTTTTTGCATTAATTTGAAGTTGAACTTCTGAAGGAGTACAAAGCAATTAGAAGGGATTGTCTTCTCACTTTATATTTGGTTGTCAGGTAACATTAGACACGCCAGTTGGAGCAAACCCTCCTTTGGCAGGACAATAGACCGTTCATCAAAACCATTCAAACAAACATCCCTAGAATTATATAATAGGTACAGGGATACCAAGCAGGTCTACTTCATTCTTCTCGCAACAACCAATGTGGCAGAAAACATGCATGAACCTCATTAATGTACACACATATGAGAGTTTCTTAACAAACACAAGCAAGAAAAAGGAATCCTGAGCTAGGTCACTGAAATTTTACAACTATGCAGGAAATGTCATCTGAACTCCTCCTATTAAGTGCTTCTTCAGTAAGCCGCTTTGCTGCAGACCGGGCATCCTTTATGTCCTTGATAGCATCCACTGCTTCTTGGTTGGACATCACCTAGGGTCATATGGAGGAACAGGTTTTAGCCCATGTAAAGGGAAAAGAAAAAACTAGTAGTTTAGAAGAAGATATAATAGAGGTAGAAAGTTCAAGTAGAACGGACCTTCCACAAACCATCACTCGCTAAGATAATACAGTCCGTATCATCACCAATCATCTCCATTTCAACATGTGGTTCTGAACTCAAATGTTCCTTCAAGCTCTTGTCACCGAATGCCCTCGCCACCGCCAACTGTCCATCAACGCGTGGGACATCTCCTGAATTCATCAAAGTTGGAATCTTAACACTGATAGTGACAGAAGATTGACACGTTTCTCTAAGAAGGAGATTGTCTAAAGGTATTGATATAATTTGAATAAACAAGAATCACATGGCTGATCGTAGTGAAATAGATTTCATACTCAAAACGAATGTCCAAACAAACAGAAGAAGATAAGATTGGTTCGTACTAGCATAATAGTGACCATGGGTGGTGTTTTCAGCCTCAAATGAAGAAGTTAACAAAAAAAACTTATTATACAAAGAATATAATGAATAAATTTAAAGTCAGTGGACTGAAATAAAAATGAATGAAAAAATATCTTTTTCTTTTTTTATTGTATACAAAGAGACCAAATCAAATGAATTAAAATATCAAGGACTAAAATGAATTTAATTACAAAAACCGCTTAAGTTTCTAGGAAAACCACGCGTTTTGACATTTATTCATTTAAACCAAAAGCACGAATTTAATAAATTAAAAGATGAAGGACTAAAGCAAATACAATTACAAAGATATCTTAAATTTTTGGCACAAAACTAAGTCGTTTTGGCATATTTTCAAGCTAAAAGAACACCAGAGGCTCAACGTAGGTAATCAATCAGCATTCTCTTTTAGAATATGTACTAGTTCTATATCCTTTATTTTAATTTTAATTTTTTTTATAAATTGCCTATTGTAAAATGCAATTAGATACTTGCTATTTTCTTCAAATTTTTTTATTCATATATTTCAAACAATTTATGACCACAAAATGTTATTAGAACTAAATTAAATAAATAAAGAACTTAGTTTGATTTACTCAATCAACCAAATCAAAACAAACAAACAAAAAAAGATCAATTTGAATCATGCACTCATTATGAGATTCTCCACGCCTAAAATTATAATTTTTTAAATAAAAACATCTATGATGACAAAAATTTAAAATTGGTAATTTTTTAAAGAAAAACATAATAAAATGAAAAATAAATAAATAAAATGTAAAAGAAAAGAAAACAGAGGAAAAGAAGTAATTTAGACGTGCCAGACCCTTGTGCGTTTGGGCTTGAGAAACAACCCGCAAGCCAACAAAGGATTCTGGCAACCAAGAGGTTGCCATAAAACCCAAAATTTTCACCGTTTTCCCTGAAACTGTCTTAAAATCGTTCCAAAAACCGCCAAACTCCTATTTTCAGGCTCAAAACTCATTTTTAATCAACCAAAATAACCAAATCGAAATTTAAAATCTATTTATGTGTTCGAACTTGATCTCCTTTATCATTCCAAAAACTCCCTTTTATATCCAAGCTCAAAATTCATTTTTAATCAACCAAAATAACCAAATCAAATTCAAAATTCTATTTATATCTTCAGATTTCCATCTCTTTTTACACAATTTTAGAGGCAATAACTACCATCAATAAATTCTTCTTTTAAAAGCAAACCCATGGATCACAGTACCAAAGGTTTTAGTGGCCGAAATGAGACTAAATGAAGTTTTTTTTATCCCTTTCTCTATTCAAAATTAAAACATATACCAAAATGCTATTATTAAAAAAATAAAAGAACCTAATTGCAAAGTTGCTCAATAACCATCTTTTTCGATAAAATTATAAAAGCACCACCATAAACAGTGCTAAGAATTCTAGATGAATGGTAAAAGTGTAGAACATGAATAGTTTATGATCTATGACAAGAAAAAAAAAGACCTATCTTTTAGTTTCTTAGTATGTAGTAACCAATTTCATGCCTGTGTTATGGACAAGCTTATAAAATTTGATTTAATTAATTCTGAAAAAATTATGTGCATTTTTACTTCTAAATTTAAATATATTTATGAATATGTTCAATTTCAATAAATGAAAAAAAATTAATGGAATTTAAATTACCCTAAAAATCAAATTAAAAGAATAAACAGTTTGAAAAAAAAGAGGGCAAGAATCATGAAAAAATTCTTAGGTAATTTATATTTGAAGAATGCTTAATTTTAAAAAATAAATCCATAATTATTGATTAAAAAACCTCATTATTCTCTACTTGATAGTTTATATATATATATTTCTCATCGACGTAATTCAGAACATTAATTTTTCTTATTTGAAATCTAAAATAGATTTATATAGAAATAAAAAATGCAATGGTGAATTATTTGCCTACCAATGCTCCTTCAAAAGAATTATTACTATTATTATTATTGGACTACTACTTGAAAAAAATGAGGGATAACATTTTAAACACATTGAAAAACCATGATCAATTTTAAAACAAGACTTAATTAGTCAAATATAATAGAAACTTAAAAACTATAAATTATCAACTATTAAATTCTTGTTATATAAAATCTTTTTAATTTTTAATGTTAATCCACAATCAACAAAAATATCAATGTTATATCAATTCTATTTTAATGTTATTGTCATTAAATTTTTTAAAAATATGTAGCTTATATTGGTTAACCATCAAGCATTTGACCTTTATTATTGAAAAAAAAATACAAAAAAAAATAATAATTCATCATTTTTTTTATAGAATGCATGAAGAATCCTTATTTTATACCATTCTAATTATTTTCTATACCAATTTTTACAACAACAAAAAAAAAAAAAAAAACTACAGTCATTTTTTATGAAATGCATGAATACTCCTTATCTTTACCATTGTGATTATTTTCTAAAGTCATTTTTCATGAAATGCATGAATAGTCCTTATCTTTACCATTGTGATTATTTTCTATAGCAGTTCTAAAAACAAAAAACAAAGTTAAAATTGACAAAAAAAAATAATTAATTATTATTTGCTATTACGAAAGTAATAAACAATAAAAAACACAAAAAAAAAAAAAAAAAATGGACTGCACATGCACCTGACCCAGGCATGGACTTGGAGGCAATCAAGTCCGTACATTTGGATGGAAAAAGCACTAACCAATAATGTTTAAAAGAAAACACAAAAGAAACACTAACAACACATCGCCTTCAACAATACGTGCCATCCAATCATTTTCTTTTTCAATTTTTTGGGGACTGAAAAGTTGCCAGAATCTATAAAGAAATTGAAAATTTATTGTCCAGAAACTCAAAAGACCACCATTTTAACACCGACATCCACTTTCTACACAAATTTTACTCAAAAACACTCTAGAATGATTCTAAAAGTATTTTAAAACCATTTTAAATTTCAAAACATGCTCAAATTCACTCTAATAATAAGACAATATCAAATCAAATCTAAAAACTCAATTTTCTTTTCGAAATTCGATTTCTTTTTAGAGTGTAAAACCATCATCAACAAACTTCCACCATAAAAACAAACACATTGACATCAATATTACCAGATCACGAGCTTAGATTGTAGCTCATTAGAGATTTCCCTCTCCTCCTCCCTCTCGTCTTCTCTCTCATCCATTTACATACAAGGATCTAAATTTAACACAAATAAAATTTAAAAACTATTTCATACAACTCTCAAAATCACTAAGGACTAAACCGAAACAAGTATGAAGAAAATCACTAAAAGAATTTTAAAAACAAAAAACACCGCATTTCAGCCCCTTCATGAACTATTTAAAACAGTGATTAGAATAGTGCAGTCAAGCCTAGAAAAACAATTAAGCACCATTCTGCTTTAGTTTTTTTTTTTTTTTTAATTCACTAACATAGTACCAAATGTTGTCACATACAAATTTATAAAAAAATCTGTTTAATTTTTTAATTAATTAAAAATTTTAAGTTAGTAAAACTAAAACAAAATAACAATAATTGTGAAAAAATTAATTTAATGTGTAGTTTGCAATATTTAATATCACGTGTTTTCATTTTTGAGTTACAAATAGTTTATACTTTATAAATATACTTGATTTTGATAAATGAAAAAAAAAACATAAAATTAACAACTTATTTCACATAAAAATCTAATTAAAAAATCAATAATTGAAAAAGACAAGCTGACAACAAGAGGTTGTTTAAGCAATATATGTTGGAAGAATCCTCAAGTAATCATTTTTTTTTCTTTTTTCTTTTTTTTTTACACAAAATTGATGATTTTTTATACTAATTTTCAATATATATATATATATATATATAAGAGCAAGGAAAATAATAACTATTTTTTTGTGAGATTGTATGAAAAAAATGATATTCAGCAAGTAATAAATAATGAAAAAAAATGATAAAATCCTCATTATTTACACCCTTTCCTCTCCTACATATTCATCTAGAGTTCGTGCTGAAAAGAATCGATGGTATATCAATTTTGCTTCAGTGTCAAAGTTATCAATTTTGTTTCAGTGTCATGGTTATTAAATTTTCAAAAATCATGATTCTTAGATTGATTAATTATCGATTATAAAAGCTCTATCATTGTCAAAACATTTGGCAATTGATCATTGTGTTTAATATTAATTTAAAAAATAAACCAAAAAAAGTAAAAATCATGAAAAAAATAATAATAATTTATTGTGAGGGTTGTATGAGAACTACAAAAATAATACTTAATTATTTGAAAAAAAAAATATTGAGCAATTAATAAATAATAAAATGAAAAAGAAAAAAGAAGTAGAAAGCCAAGATGGATGGCACGCAGGTGCGTGGTGGCATCCAGGCCAGCTCGCTCGGCCATGAAGAGAGCGGCCAATGAATTTTTTTGAAAAAAAAAGTCTCCACCTCGTAATAGAGCTGTTCATAGGCTAAGTAGTCCGACAGACCAGCCCAAACCTGATAGGTTTTGGACCAACCTGGGCTAAGATTTTCAACCGATTGGCCCGACCTCACAAGGCCCGGTCTGTTCGATCTTAATCCAACCCATCAACAGGTCTACTTGGTAATTTTAGGTGACAATGCTACCAACACTGTCGCCTGTAATTTCCTACAACCACTTTGTCATTGAAAAATCATGCGGATCCTATTTTTACAACACCTAGAATCATTGTAAGAACATGTAAAAAAACAATTTTTAACATCAAAACACGTTCTAATCCACCCTATAAAAACAAAAAACCAAGCCCTCTTCTGTCTCCAGCCTTCTTTCTCCTCCCTCCACATTTAGATATCTTGTTGTACCACAAATAAAGTTCAGAGACTATTCCATACAAACACAGAAATTAAGAGAGTAAAGTGAAACAAATAGGAAATATTGCCAAAAAAAATCAATTAAAATTTTTGGGAAAAAAGCACCCAAGAAAGAGAAAAAAGGAAGGGGAGGGGGGGGGGATTGTTTTAGTTCACTGTAGTGGGGCTGGGCTTTAGCTACCTGAAACCATAATCAGTCTTAGCTTCTTTATTATATAATAATAATTTGCTCGTTGAACAGTACAATCTCATCAGTTTAAAGAGATCAGGTGTATTCGTCAACAAGTTACTGGACACCAAATCAGTGCAAAAACTTGTTGCAAATCTACCATTTAAAGCATCCACTTGCCCTATGAAAGAGTGCAGAAAAATGCAATCCGTTTTTCAAAATTCCAGCATGCACTTGCAGGCCTCAAACACCTAAAGGCATCAAAAACAGTAATGTCCTAACAGTCTAATTTCCAATGCTCCAATTCTTACGACACAATCATACTCATGTTTATGTAGAGTTCAGACATTGTAGACAGCATAGTTCTTGAATCTTACGAAATGTCTTACCTGGAAAGTTTGATACAAAGCCACCTCTGTTCTCAATGTCCTCCCTTTCCATACTTGGCTCATGATCAACCGATAGTTGTTTGGCCACACCATTCTTGCAGATAACAGCTCGAGAATCACCAACATTTGCTACCACCAGTTTCTGACAGTTAATTAGTATTGCTGTGACAGCCGTCGAACCTCCTTTACCCAAATCACCTGCTTTCTCCAAAATTGTAGTATCAGTTATACGATATGCTCTCCTCACAGCATTTTCTGACTGTGTCCAGAAGTCTGGCTGCTTGTAGAAAACATTCAAACAAGAAATAGACATTTATTTCCATCAAATCTAGCTAGTAAAGCAAACTACAGACAGAAAGGACAAGCTAAGAAGAGGAATTAGTAACCATATATATCTAGTCCATCATAAAAGTTGAAATATTAATTTTCAGCTCAACTTCAAAATGAGGGCTCAGCTAGCAACCAATCCCTGAACCCAAACCCATAACCATAGTGAAATCTTTAAACCTCAAGTAGCTCAGAAAAAATGCTGCTTCAATAATAAGTACAATATGCAATAAGCATGCCTTACCTCCTTTAAGATATTTTCAAACAAATGAGACCGCAAATAATCAGGAATAATATGGCTCAGATGACCATCAAATATTGCAAATAAGCCAAGCTCGTTTTCCCCGACTTCCTTAAATTGAGCAACAACATAATCTTCCATGTCATGATGTGATTTCCCCTTTACTAAGTGAAAGCCATGTGTTATGTGCTTCGACATCTTACTCTTGCCCTTTCCAGAATCTGGAGAAGAACCTAATCCAACTTTTTCCTGCAATACTTGCATTCAAACTTGTAGGTAACTCTCTCCACTAGCAGTCCATTGAAAAACGCAAGTGTAATTAAGCAAGTGTAATTAATGTAAAACAACTGAATAAACAACCAATACAACACGACAAAAAAAATTCCAAAACTTGTGGTAATCATAATTGTCTGAAACCAAAGAGTGTTACAATTCTTCTTCGAACATGATGTCTTTCTCCCAAACAAAAATCATAGCAACTTGGTTGAAGATGGCAATTGGAAAGTAAAATTATAACTGCCATGTTCTTGCTTCCTTTCTACTAAATCCCATTTTAAATCCCATCTCATGGATTACATATAATTTGTTCTAAAATCGCTTATCTCTGAATGCAAATTACGATCTTTAATGTCGAAATATCTTAATATCATATGGTCATGAAATTAGACGATCCCAATACATCAGCTACTGTAACAAACACTAAATGGTAGTACTAATTAACAAATGTTTTTATTTTTCCCCTCCACATAAGAAAAACTCTGATATTAGAAGTACCAAAAACACACAATCCAGAACTCAAATGAAGTTAAGGCTCCCAATGAATACAAATTAAAATAGCATTATCTCTAACCCCATCTGGGCCATATCATGATCTCAAACAAACAAATCTAAAAATCAAGTCTTTAATTATAAGTCCAAGCAAAAAAACACATTTATCATCAAGTAATCTTACAATAATCAAATAAAAAAATCATGGGTTCAAGACCAAAAACAGAAGACAAATAAACAAACATACCTTCATCTTGTGTAGGATTTCTCTGCCAGTCATGGCTAGCTAGTAGTGATGTATGTAGAGATAATATAGCAATTGTATTGTTTAGAAAATCAAGAGAGAAAATCACAGTAGCCGAGAAAAGAAAGATAGGAAAGGAAATGAGAAAGACAAGTGGCGATGAGGATCCAGCAACTGTTGACAACACACTCACTTCGCAGTTTTGTCCGCGTTTCTTGCATTTACTTGTGACGTGGTCTTCGCGACGCTTAACTCTCTCTCTCTCTCGCTCCCTCTTGCTCTCTCTCTCTCTCTCTCTATTTTCTTTTTCCTACTGGTTGTAATTTTTTTTTTTTTTCAAAAGAAAAATGAAAAACAATTGGGTTAAGAGGAGTTTATTGATAACAGAGGGATGAGATGATGAGACACGTTAAGGTCATGAACATGGGATTTTTGACTAAATTGATAAATGAGGTGTTTAAACCAATTGAGAGGTTCCACGTGGAGGCTTGAGTTCGACAAAAGGATTGAAAAGACTAATTTTAAATATGCATGAAAATTTGAGTAAATAAGTTTTGGACTAACGTCCGTAAGTGGCTAAATTATTTTGAACCTAGTTGCTATTATAAAATTAAATATTAAACATCGGATCTTAATCAAGGTTTTGAACATTTCACTTAAAAATTGGGATTTGTTAAAAATAGAAGAACATTAATAGGAAAAAAAAATAAGGAATGTGACCTTTTAAGAAATTTTATATTACTTATGGAGTAATTAGTATAAGTTACTTCATAAGAAAAAGATAGATACAAAAAGAATAGAAAAAATTTTTAAAAAATGATTTTATGTAAAATTATTCTTATTACTTTTGGGTTTTTTTATGTATTTATCTATGTTCTCAAAAGTAGGCTTATAAAGTAATTATTGTACACTTAGATTACTTATTTCATGAGTATTTTAAAATTTTTCGTAACTTTCTTTCACAAAAATGAGGAATATTTTGAATTTTAGTTCAAGTGGTAAACCAGTTTGTATCTAATGTTATGATATATAGTTTTAATCTTAAATATGCATAAATAAAAAAAAATATCAATAAATATAAAACTTTTTATTTAAATGGCCTATTGAAAATATAAAATCTAGAGTAACTAGATGATTAAAAGCAAATGGAGAGACAATTCAAGATTTTTTTTTCTTTTTATTTGAGAATAAAAATATCTTTGGATTAACTTGCATATCAACTATATTAAATTTGTTCTTGAACGATTTTAAAAATGTGTAGATAGAGGATTCTTGAGAACTAATCGGATAGCTGGTGGGCGAGCCAATCAAGATGCAAAGAGCTAATATTATGACTTGAAGAAGTAAATATCAACCAACCAAGTAGAAAAAAGTACAAATAGTCGGAGACGTGGGATGAGAAGCAAGCAATGACAAGAAGACGCAAGTCGATAGCCGACGGATGGGTAGTCAATATTCAAACAATCGAAGCTTTGGATGTTATCTCGGTGTGTGAGTGAGAGAGTTTTAAGATATAGAGTTTGTGTGTTTCTTTTGCTAAAGATTGAAAGTTCGAAGTTCAAAGTTTTCTAATGTAAAAGTTCGATCCTCTCATAATTATATGAGGTTGGTATTTATAGTGAAAGAAAATAGTCCTTTATCGCTAGGATCATACCACATCATTCAAGTTTGGATAATCGATTTAGTTTAAAAGATTTAAATTCGTTAGGCTTAATTACTTCAATTTGCTTGCAAATACTAAAGGAAGTAACAATTGAGTCTTCATTTAACGGACACTCGCTCCAAGCCCACTAAGTCAATCTCCTTAATGCATCCTAACGACAAGTCATAGATATTGGTCTTGTTAGAATATTTATGTCCATCCTATCGATCCAAGATCTTGTGTTGAGTTAAGTTCATTCATAATTCAATCCATTTGTCATGCAATTTAAATCTATGTCAAAAAAAAAAAACATGAATTAGTACAAAATAAAAAATATCAAAGTTAATTAATTATATAAAAAATGAAGCATATACAAAGTGCATCTCTTACATGATTTCTTGTATCCAGGAGTTTTAGTAAAGATTTTGAATATTAGCTCTAAAATTTGAATTTAAAAAATTAAAAGAATGAGTAAATCTCTTTTAAATTAAACATTTTATAGTCCGAGGGTTTTTAGTTTGAATTTATTCGTATTTCATTAAAAAAAAAAAGGTAGGTTTATTTGTAAGAAAAATGTGGCTTTCTAGTATGTTTTGCTAAAAGGGAAGGCAATGGACCTTTTGGCAAAAAAATATCTTGCATTCTGTGACTTGACCAAGTCCCCGATTGTGATCATTTTGTTTCTCGCATACGGTAGCTTCAAAATCCATGTCGTGGTCTTGCGATTTACACGATTCAATGAAAATTGGATTATTCACATCATTAATTATTTCTTTTTTTATATTTTTTAATGTAATTTATTTATTTATTTATCATTTTTTCTTATTTTTTTAAATGTAGTTCATTTTTTGTTTTTCAATCAATTTTTTGAATAAATATGACAAATGACAAAAACTTTAATATGTATAATGCCATATAAAATAAAATTATCACGTAAAAATAAAATAAAATAAAGAAATAAATTAGTTGAAAATAAAATGAAATAAATTAGATATAAAAACACAAAAAAGCATTTTGTCTCTCCTCTGTCACGATCTAATCTAACCAGCAACAAAAGTCATTCTTCTTTTTTACTTCACGACTTTCAACCCTTCATCAATGTAATCCAACAACAACACACAAGAACGGATCAATCTCTTATTTTTCTTCCACAACTCTCTTTAAAAAAATAGTTTCTTTACACCTACCAATAACTCCATAAATCAAAATATTTAAAAAACTAAAATGAGTTCTGCAACAAGCAAAGTTTGCATCATGCTAACTATTATTGGTGTAGCGGAGGCACGAAAAGACCAAGGTATTTGTAGGTGGAATTATAGTATTATACATAAAACTAAAACAAAACGAGCTAAACATTATTTCTTGTGCTGTTCATACACACTCATTTGTACTATTTACCCATATTTATTTGTATTGTGTATTTTACTGTTTGCAACTAAGTTTATTAAAAATTTTGCACTTTGATTTCTCAATTTTTCAAAAACTTTAGTTGTGATCTTGAACTTCATTTGTTTTGCATTTTGATCCATGTATGCTAAAAGGAGAGAGAAATGAGGGAGAGATAAGGGAGGAGAGAGAGAAGGGACATCAAGGTCTATTTCAACCATCTTGACTCGTCAAACTCAAATAATTTAAATCTGTTTATGGTGGTCACAAGCCATAAAATGATTATAAGAGATAAATCGAAACCTAAAAATATTTTTACTTTTTTAATTTTGATTTGATTTTTGAGTTTTTTTTTGTATATTAAAATAGATTTTGATGCTCTAAATGAGTTTATTAATGTTATTTATATAATTTTCATGTTTTTTTTGGATAAATAATAGAGATAAGTATATGTTGAAGAGGTCAAAAATTAAAAAATATATTTTTTAACAATGTTTCCAACGACCCATAGTTCGCCAAAAATTGCATTGACCAATTTTTTTTTTTTTTTAATCTTTTTTGGCTATGTTCCAGGCCCGTGCCCAAGCACATAGGCTTGGAGTCGACCCAAGCGCCCAAGCTTAGAGGCAAGCCCAAAAGCACGCCCGTGCCACCTACTCTATAGTCCGTTTGTTTCTTTTTTCAATAATTGATATTTTTTAAATTGATTTCGAAGGTAGAGATTAAGAAAGATCAAAGTTTTTTTTTTCTTATACAAGTTCGACGATGATAAAATATATGTGATATGTTTTATATAATTTGTATGAGATTTTTTTTTTTTTTTGGGTTTATTCCTTTATGTTGCATACTCTCAACCCACTAAATATTGTCATGATGTATAAAAAAATTAAATCATCGATTTTATTAAAAATTAACTATGCTTTAACATATATAACACCAACCATTTGCTATTGTATTTTTAATATCATAAAACTAATTTTTTAAAAAACAAAATGATTGAAATAATTTTTTAAAAGAATCATTAAATCATTCAAATAATTTTTTTTATGTTAACATTATTGATTATTTCATAAATAAATATATATAAATCAAATTCATATACTTTCAACAAAAAAAAAAAAATCTTCTTATTTGCATTGGATAAGATTTTTCTTTTTTTCATTCGTTAATTTTTATTCAAGTCTATAGATTAATTGTAGTTTTATTTTTTGGGTTTAATACATCTCGTGCCTTTGTATTTTAACAAAATTATCATCATAATCCATGTACCCGCATATAGTTCATAACTCGACCTTGTACTATTTGAAGTTGGTGTAAAATAACTCCTCGGTGATGTTATTCCGTTAGTTTGACTAATTTCTATTAGTTGACCTACAAATGCCAAATACAATATCGACATGTGCCCTTTTGAGAGTGAAAACAAAATTTTATTTTTAATTTTTTTTCCCGACTTTGTTTTAAGTCAAAATCATTCAAAATTGAAAAAAAAATTCCTAACTCGGACTATTAAATAGAGTCTCAAATCTAAGATCTAATGTCCATGTTGCAAATTAAATTAAATTATTTTGCTACTCCTCAATTATTTATTATACAGACTCATATTATTTAATTTTTTATAGAATATAATATAAAAATAAGAGAATTCTTTCACGTTCAAGAAGGATAACGCGAGAACCAAATTGTTTTCAAGTTCCGAGAGGTTGTTTACAACAACCATCGAATTTATCCCACTAGAAAATACATTATAACCTCTAACCTTTAATTAGAGTATTTCAATGTTTATTGTAATGAGGCTTCATGTGGGTGATTTGTTCCTCATCTTGTGCTTATGGATCTTAAGCTTGATACTATAAACAAGTGTGAAGATTGGTCCTTATAGCCGATTTCTTATTTCTATGCCCGATGACGTTGTGTTTAAGTAGTCCGGTGGTGGAAATAACTAGGCTAAAGGGGAATTACACTAAGGGTGTAGAGTTCATTGATTCGGTTCTTGATGTTGTGAGGAAGG